TTCCATTGTAAAAGACTGCCATTGACTTAACATTGAGTCAACCTTTGTGAGCTCATAAATCTGCATCAGACTGTCCTACAGACTAGAGTCAGGCCCCATTCAACTCAGTCTAGTCAGCAGCCAATCACTGATGACCTTTAGACTTACTAGCCACTCCCTAGCAACCACTTATGGCACCCTAGCAACTGTCCCGTAGACTTCCATTCAAAAGACTCTCATTGACTTAACATGGGATCAAACTTTGTGAGCTCATAACTCTGCATCAGACTGTCATAGAGACTAATGGCTGAGCTCATTTAACTCAGTCTAGCCAGCAGCCAATCACTGATGGCCTTTTAACTTTCTAGCCACACCCCTAACTACCACATACTGCACCCTAGCAACTGTCCTATAGAATGTAATTAGCTGTGCTATCAAATGCTTATAATTCTAACATGCTAATGACATGCCAATCATGCTAGCAACATGCTACTCATATGCTAATCATGCTAATGACATGCTAACTCATACTGGAAACATGCTAATGACATGCTAATTTGTACTAGAATCATGCTAGTAACATGCTAATTCAAACTAGACTCATGTTAATAACTGGCCTACATGCATATCTTTGCATAGCAGTGTCCTATTGACTTGGGGGATGGCTCATCTGACTCAGACAACCAATGAGCATCTCAATATGATAATGAAGCTCACAAGCCACGCCCCCAAATTGATTCCATAGACTTCCATTAAAATAGGCCAAGATGCATATCTTTGCATAGCAGTGTCATAGAGACATGGGGGTTGGTTCATTCGACTAAGACAACCAACCACATTCAAGTTCACTCTGTAACCTCGCCCATAGCAACAAAACAGAGTACCCTAGCAACCATTCATTAACAGCTATATCTCAGCATCAGAACATCGTAGAGACTTGGAGATTGGCTCGTTTGACTCATGCTAGCAAACGGAACTTCCTATATGCTACACATGCTAGCAGTGACTAGCTACATGCTAATATTGACTAGCCCAGTACTGTAACTTGCTAGAAATGCTTACTAAGTATAAATGTTTTATCAATCATGTATGTGAGGCTTGCCTAGTAACCAACCAGGGTACCCTAGCAACTGCCAAGCAACCACCCAAATTACCCTAGCAACCGCCTAGCAACCACCTAGCAACGGCCTAGTAATGCCTTAGTAAGGGCCTAGCGACCACTCAGGACACCCTAGCAACCGCCTAGCAACGCCTTAGCAATCACTCAGAATACCTTAGCAACCACCTAGCAACACCTTAGCAACCACCTAGCAACCACTTGGGACACCTTAGCAACCGCCTAGCAACACCTTAGCAACCACCTAGCAACCACTCAGAACACCCTAGTAACTGCCTAGCAACGCCTTAGCAACCACCTAGCAACCACTCAGGACACCCTAGCAACCACCTAGCAACACCTTAGCAACCACCTAGCAACCACTCAAGACACCCTAGCAACCACCTAGCAACGCCTTAGTAACCACTCAGAACACCCTAGCAACCATCTAGCAACCACTTAGGACACCTTAGCAACCACCTAGCAACACCTTAGCAACCACCTAGCAACCACTCAGAACACCCTAGCAACCGCCTAGCAACACCTTAGCAACTACCTAGCAACCACTTAGGACAACCTAGCAACCGCCTAGCAACACCTTAGCAACCACCTAGCAACCACTTAGGACACCCTAGCAACCGCCTAGCAACACCTTAGCAACCACCTAGCAACACCTTAGCAACCACCTAGCAACCACTCAGGACACCTTAGCAACCACCTAGCAACACCTTAGCAACCACCTAGCAACCACTCAGAACACCCTAGCAACCGCCTAGCAACACCTTAGCAACCACCTAGCAACCACTCAGGACACCCTAGCAACCACCTAGCAACACCTTAGCAACCACCTAGCAACCACTCAGGACAACCTAGCAACCACCTAGCAACGCCTTAGCAACCACTCAGAATACCCTAGCAACCACCTAGCAACCACTTAAGACACCTTAGCAACCACCTAGCAACACCTTAGCAACCACTCAACACCCTAGCAACCGCCTAGCAACACCTTAGCAACCACCTAGCAACCACTCAGAATACCCTAGCGACCACCTTGCAACACCTTAGTAACCACTTAGCAACTAGTCAGAACACCTTAGCAACTGCCTAGCACCACCTTAGCAACCACCTAGCAACCACTCAAAACACCCTAGCAACCGTCTAGCAACACCCTAGCAACCACCTAGCAACTAGTCAGACCACCTTAGCAACTGCCTTGCACCACCTTAGCAACCACCTAGCAACCACTTAAAACACCCTAGCAACCGCCTAGTAAAATGCTAATTCATGCTAGAATCATGCTAACAACATGCTAATTCATGCTAGAATCATGCTAGTAACATGCTAATTTATGCTAGATTTATGCTAACAACATGCTAATTCATGCTAGAATCATGCTAGTAACATGCTAATTCATGCTAGAATCATGCTAACAACATGCTAATTCATGTAAGAATCATGCTACTAACATGCTAATTCATGCTAGAATTATCCTAGTAGCATGCTAATTCATGCTAGAATCATGCTAGTAACATGCTAATTCAACCACTTCAAACTTTCAGATTCGGCTTTTCAAGCCACCATAAAGTTTGTCCTCAAACTTTAATATCTAGTTATAACTTAATCTGTGATTTTCACCCTCTCATTTTCACTCATCACACACAGAGTATATCAAGTCCAAAATTACTCATACCCCTGGCAAAATCTGACTTAAAGATTTTGTTCAAATGTAAATAAAAGCTGAGAAATATTGGCTGTTTCTCAATACCAAGTGCGCAAAGTTTGGATTTGCGTCCTTGGAAGTTCAGACTTGCCAAGTTCAGACTTGGAAGAACGAACTCCCAAGGATGCTGTCACGTTTTAGCGTGATAAAAACAGGAAATAAACGGGTGTAGAATCCAAGTGCAGTTTATTTGATGTATTGTGCAGTGACAGTGACAAAAATCCTAAAATCCAGAGTACAAAATAACAAAATAGCAAACAAACAAACAAAACAAGAAACTAAGACAGATTAAACTTGAACTAGACTACAACAAGATGCAAGAGCAAGAATAAGGAACAACATACCAAAGATGACAACGACCAACTTACAAACAGAGGTGGAATGGTTGAATATATAGTCCAGGTAATCAACGGGGAAACAGAGACAGCTGAGGTTGTAAATCAGTGTAGATGACAGAAAGAAGTGCACGAAAGAATGTAGGCTGCATCCGAATCGCATATTTCCATACTATATAGTACGCCAAAATCAGTATGCGAGCCGAGTAGTATGTCCGAATTCATAGAATTCGAAAATCAGTATGCGAGAAGTACCCGGATGACTTACTACTTCTGCCGAGATTCCGGAGTGCGCATCCCATGCATGCTGCGCTATCCCATGATGCCCCGCGAGAGAATTCATGAATGGAAGTAAAGCGACGCAACTGACGCAGGTAGGTCACGTGACCATGACAAAATGGCGGATGTAGTACGTCCGAATTCCATTCATACTTTTCACATTCATACTGTATAGAGCGTACTTTTCTAACGCAGAGTAGTACGTTTAAATTCAAATGCAGTACCTACTGAGTAGTAGGCGGTTTCGGACGCAGCCGCAGTCTTTTTGGGCGCTGTAGTTCCACTCAGTGTCCATTGAACTACAGCGCCCTCAGGTGGTCACTGACAGTCGTGACAGATGCAAGTCGAATACTTCTTCAAATGGAACGGCAGGTTATAACGTCACTTACCTTACCATGGATTCATCGGTTTCACTGTACATTAATATGATCTAATTATATAAAGCACAGCCTTATATTCATTCATTCATTTTCTTGTCGGCTTAGTCCCTTTATTAATCCGGCCACAGCGGAATGAACCGCCAACTTATCCAGCAAGTTTTTACACAGCGGATGCCCTTCCAGCCGCAACCCATCTCTGGGAAACATCCACACACACACTCATACACTACAGACAATTTAGCCTACCCAATCACCTGTACCGCATGTCTTTGGACTGTGGGGGAAACCGGAGCACCCAGAGGAAACCCATGCGAACGCAGGGAGAACATGCAAACTCCACACAGAAATGCCAACTGAGCCGAGGTTCGAACCAGCGACCTTCTTGCTGTGAGGCGACAGCACTACCTACATCTTCATGTCTTGACTAGTGCGGTTGAATGACATTTGTCCTGGGAGCAATGTACAAATATGGCGGCGCTACTGACGCATGCTCAGGGTCCCTATGCGATATCTAGTGTATATATCTATGAATCATGACAAACTGTGTATTATTTAAAAGCCTAAAATGTCTAGTTTCCATGAATGGTGATTGATTGATTTGACAGGAGTCATAAAGCATTACTTTGCTACAGCAATCCACATGTAAACATTTTGTTTATATGTTTTTTAGAGGCTTAATTCAAATCAAATACCACCAATCTTCCCATACCACTATTTTACAAATATTCTCAACAGTAGGCAGCATGGCGGCTCGGCGGTTAGTACTATTGCCTCACACCTAAAAGGTTGCTGGCAATATTGGCCATATATATGTGTCTGTGTGTTACGTGAGTGTGTATGGGTGTTTCATAGTACTGGGTTGCGGCTGAAAGAGCATCCGCTGCTTAAAACATATACTGGAATAGTTGGCGGTTCATTCTGCAGTGGCGACCCCTGAAATAGAGACTAAGCTGAAGGAAAATGAATGAACGAGCGATTCTCAAAAGTATAAAATACAGTTCATACTCCTCAAAGCAAAGGGGGTGCCCTTGTTTGGTCCTCAATGGGAACTGAACGTCTTCTAGTGGTCATGCATGGTACTGCGGCCAAACTAAATCTTAATAAAAAGTACATTTTTTGCAAAGTGCACTAAAGGAGATAAAAATAATGTAAAAATTTTGAGTTTCTTCGCCATTAATAACTGATACACTGTTGTGATTTTTTCCCTGCAGGTTTTGGAAGAGCGAATGAAGCTGGAATGTAAATGTCACGGCGTTTCGGGCTCCTGCACCACCAAAACATGTTGGACCACATTACCGAAGTTCCGCGAAATCGGCTACGTCTTAAAGGACAAGTACAACAAAGCGGTTCAAGTAGAGGTGGTTCGTGCCTCGCGTCTGCGCCAGCCGACCTTCCTCAAGGTGAAGAGGACGCGTCACCAAAAGCCCTTAGAAACAGACTTGGTGTACATCGAGCGTTCGCCCAATTACTGCGAGGAGGACGCCAAAACGGGCAGCGTGGGGACGCAGGGGAGACTCTGCAACCGGACATCGCCACATACAGACGGCTGCGACCTCATGTGCTGCGGCCGAGGATACAACACACATCAATACACAAAAGTGTGGCAATGCAACTGTAAATTCCAGTGGTGCTGTTTTGTGAAATGCAACACCTGCAGCGAGAGGACGGAGGTGTTTACCTGCAAATGAACAATGCACGGGAAGCCAGTTTTTTTTTTTTTTTTTTTGCACAGCAGAATGTATATTTGCTTTAACCCAGAGTTAAAATACTAAACTCTTATCAGTAGGTACAAACCCAGAGGTTCGTGCACTGACTCGCGCTAAAGGACTGCAGGACACCGGTGCATGCTGGGATTTGTTGTGTGCTGGTTTCTCCATAGGAAGGGATAACGCCGCACAAAGGAACTTGTTGAGTTGTGTTTAAGGAGCTCAGTGCAAATCGAGGATGTATAAAAACTGGAACCTGGTAGAGTATGTTTAGTTATCCAGTCACACTGGATCTGTCTGTTTGAACACTGAAAATAAATTATTATTATATATTATATGTTATAGTCTCCTAAGGAACCGAAGTGCTAACGGGTAGAAATGTGTTATTTTGTACTAAGTGGAAACAAAGACTTTTGTAGAAGCACGTGACTGAAGATGTCTTATAGAGGGAATCGAAAAGCCCCGTCAGAAACGTTTAATGCCTAATGATGTGTTGATTTCCGAAACCACTGTCATATTTGATTTGATTTCATCGGCTGATGCATGTTAACATGGGTTCATCTTTGCTGTAATCTAGCCGTAGTTCTCAGTAAGGTATGCGGTAGACATTTGGGCCACTTTTGTTTTTTGTTTCGTTTCAGCGTAGTTAAACAAGTGTCAATGATTCAAAGATCCTTCCTCAGTTGATGAAATGTGGAACGAGTATATTTCTGGATATGTTACAGAGTGCTGCACTGATATTTTTTCTATTCAGATACGATGCAATTAAAAGTAAAATAAATATCAAGTTGAATTACATTTGGCATGTTATTGCTGGAAAGAAATATATTCTGGGTTCTGAAAGGCTGTTCAGCATTAAAACTATGTTAATATTTACAAATATGAAAATTTTTAAATGTATTACATAGTAAGATAAAACTAAACAAATTTGTTAACTGACAAATATAATATTACAAATATTCAAAACATATTAGAACGTTACAGTTTATAGTTGTATTTAACACGTAATATGTGTTTCCCAGTGATGGGTTGCAGCTGGAAGGGCATCCGCTGAGTAAAACATCTGCTGGATAAGCTGGCAGTTCATTTTGCTGTGGCGACCCCTGATTAATAAAGGGACTAAGGTGAAAAGAAAATAAACGAATGAATGCAATCTGTAACAATAAACATAACCCACTGCAAATTTTTGAAATACAATATATATATATATATATATATATATATATATATATGCGTTTTGATGAAATATTGCATAGTATTACTGCATAATAATTACATAATATATAGTTTTATTGTTTAATTGGCTAAATATATCTGTAAATATGAGTAATAATATTGTATTATTTTATATTATGATTTATTTTCAAATAAAAATTCATTTATTATAAAACAAATACAAAATATGTTATTTAAAATTTCTTAAATTATTTATTATCAGTTATTATATTAATATCGGTATTTTTCATATTACCAAATATAAAAAATATTTATATAATATTAACATTTTATTGGCAGTAAATATGTTTGTTTTTGTCTTCTATTTTAAAGGCTGACAAACCTTTTGTTTTCTGTCATAATGCACAATTACATAAACATTTGTATTTTATTTGTGCGTTTAACACAAGCGGCGACCTCCCGCTCTCCCTCGTGAAGCCAATATGAAAGTAACTGAAACTGCACTTCATCGACTGGCTTTTGGGGGCTCCAGGAACTCCAGATGTTCACTGACTGCAATGCTAAAATGGCCAATTTTACAGCTGATCAAAACATGTTTACAGCCTGGTACAAAAGCATATAGCTAATATTACCCTTTATGACAATTGTGAGGGGGGTGAATTTATATCAAGTCTGCATAATTAAAGGCGTGGCCACTTAAGTGACAGCTAGGTCTCGCTGGTTGCCGTCACTTCCATTCCGGCTGATTAGCTGCTGAACTCGGCATATTTATTGTATTTTTGTTTTGTTTAATGTGGCTTTACACAGTCGACTGCCTTTTGGATTTATCTCCTACAATTATCAGATGATATGGGATGCTGTGTGCACTTAATTGTGCTCATAAACCATTTAAGTTGCCTCCATTTCCCAGGTGAGTGAAATCATATACTTTTATACCATCTCTATAAATGTATTTGTTTAATTTAAGATCATTTATAATTATCTTTAAACCTGTAATGCACTCCAGAATCTTGTTTAGTTACCCTTGGCCAGTGCGAAGAAGCATGAACAAAATGCAGATGGTTGATCTTGCCTACTTGTAGCTTAATTTGCGCTCTTCAGAAACCTATTGGTGACGTCACAGATACTAAGTCCATATCTTTTACAGTCTATGATTTAGTTAATTTCCCCCGCAGGCAGGATGCATATAAATGAATGGTTTTAAATGCAAAAATCCAGATTTAATCTTACATTTTACACAAATTTTGGTGTTTTTGAGCTTAGTTGACATCAGTACAAATCATTTCAGCATCTCAGATGCCTGAAAAACCATTAAACGCGCATCGCCTCATGACATAATGAACGTTAAACTCAAAAAGAATCGACTCGTGGGCGTTTCCCCATTTAAATGACAAGACGAATGGCTTTTTCTGCTTGTTTTCTGGCGGTATCATGGACGTCTTTCCACTTCCATGTGTTGGATAGTCGCTGTGTTTTCTCCTGTTTGAGGAAACTGCGCAGTTCCAGTCCCTCTTAATCTTAATAGGGCATGAGGAGGAAACATACATCATTAGATCTCACAGTTAAATCAAGCCCTTTACATTCTGGAGGAAAACACATGTTTATAATATCTTGTGGTCGTTCGCCTGATTGTGGCATGTGTGGAGTTATCTTTGGAATTAAAGAGAGAGAAAATAAAAACAGAGGCTTTAGGTTGATTTGGTCGACAACTGCGGTAGATATTGTACTCTTTTTATTAGAACATTCGAGGAATGGCTTTTTAAAAAGGTTTATCCACTGATTCCCTAGCAAAAAAACAATTGTAGCTCTAAAATGAACTTGCAAAGCAGCTAAAATATTATCAAAATAACCTTATACAGCAAAGAAAATACTTGAATTTAAAAGGTATGTATATATATATTTATATAAATATATATATACATACATAAATACCTTTAAAATTCTAATTATATACATACATATATATATATATATATATATATATATATATACATACATATATATATATATATATATATATATATATATATATATATATATATTTATATTTATATATACTCAATGCATAACTAATATTCAACCCAGACTCATTGTGGAAAGTAGCCCCATGGACGTTTCTGCGGACCGCAGGATACGTCCTGGGACATACGTATTCGAGCGGTTTTTATTTTCGCGAATCCGCGAGAGGCCGCTGTTCGCGCCCGCGCTGTTCTCGCGCGAAAAGCTGCCGTATCGGCCGACCCGGCCACCCTCCTTTTCCTCCTCCTCCTTCCCTAAACCCAAGTTACGATTTGCAAAAGCCGTCCAGAAAAAAAAAAAAAGCAAAAGCCCTCGTCTTCGATTTCACCCACGTTTTCGGATCCCGCTGCGCTCTCACCCTTATTTTTCGAATTGTTTTTCATCTTACCTGATTTCCGGAACCGCTGTTCCCCGGACTCGATCCCGGTCGTCGTCCCCGCGGCCGGCTCCTCCTCCTCAGGGGCCTCCACTCCGCCGACGCAACGCTGTGAGCTAAGTGGACAAACTGGTTGGATCGGGAAAGCCCTCCACTCGGAGGCGAGCCGTCGGCCGGCGAGTGCGAAGAGGAGGAGCGGAGCGGCGCCACGCCGCCCTGCAGCGTTCGCTTGAAAAAAACTAAACGCGGCCTTACGTACCTCCGGCCACGTAAATCCAGAAACATCCGAGGGGCTACGTTTCCAGAATGAGCTTGGGTTAATATTGCTTAAGGGGGCAAATAATATTGACCTAAAATGTTTTTTAAAAAATTAAAAACTTCTTTTATTCTAGCCGAAATAAAACAATTAAGACTTTCTCCGGAAGAAAAAATATTATAGGAAATACTGTGAAAAATTTCTGAATCTGTTCAACATCATTTGGGAAATATTTTAAATAAATCACTGGAGGGCGAATAATTTAGACTTCAACTGTATGTTTAATTTTCCAATCATGCACACAATGTGACGCAGTATTTTGTACTTCTCTGGTGTTTTTTTCTGGGTGTCTGTGAAGGGAAAGCCGCGGGCTCGTCATGCCCTGGGTGAAAGGCATTACAGACGGGCAGCAAAGCAGAAGTAAGATGTGTTTTGTTAGTCGTCTGAAGCCCTGGGGCCCGGAACCATCTAAGCTCCATCACTATACCCCGGATTGCCCAAAATAAATCCACCTGTTTCTGGCAAACATTTTGTCATTAAAAAATATGAGAGAGGAAAAACAGAGTGCGCGGTGTGTGTGCTCCCCTCTAAAGCACCTTTTGTTCGGGTGTCAAGACCGTTTGTTCAGTGCGAGCTGAAAAAATACCAGCGGCCTTTATTCACACAGAAACGGCCCATCAGGAAACCCACACAGCTTTCTGAGATCACTGCTCGTTCTGCTGGCCAGAACCGAGACTGCTGTCTAATTTGATTGGATGTCTGGAGTTTACAGCTTATGATCGTGTCTCAGCTGTGTTAGAAATGATCATCTGAAGGGAGAATTCAAAATAGGCATAACTCAAGTAATATTGCATGGACTACTTCCCGTACAGGCCTCCCTTTCCTTTCCAAACACCAAACAATTTCAAAATAGCCTCATTCTGAAAACGTATCCCTATATACATTTCTGGAGAACATGAATTATGTAGCCAGAGCTGCGTATGGCTGCATTTCATCTCATAATATGCTACGGGGCGGTATGATGCCGTTCCTTTTCTCGCTGAACAGCTTAACGCTTACCTGCATGTGGACGGCTTTTCAGCTGTTACCAGTTTGTCCAGTAGATCGACTCGTATGTCAGCGGTAGGGCAGGGCAATTTTTCAGATTTTTTCGAGTAATTCAAATTTACGTTTTAAGACGATTTAATTTTGAATCAAATCGAGAAATCGCGATTTTTTAAAAATATATATATTTAATACATTATAATGGCACCAATGCGCTTTGGTTTACTCTATGAAGCAGGAAGCACACCAGAAGCGATTTACGAAGCAGTTCATATTTCAGCCCCGCCACAGAGCGCCATCTGATTAGTTTCATGTTAAATATCATGCGAATGTGCGCGTTTGATGTGTGATAGTTTAAACTGTCATGTGCGCGCCGTGTCGCAGCGCTTCTGGTGTGCGACCTGCTTGACTGCCTGTTAAAGCGTGAAGTCATGTAGGATTTTACTTGTTGCATTAGTCTGAGTCACGTCTGTGTGGATTGTCATATTCCCTTATCATGTCGATAAACTCAATCTCAACATGTATGAAGGAAGGAAAAGCCTCCCGTGTGAAAAACCGCGCCGATCTTTTGGTTTGAACACGAGCAGAGGTGAGGGACTGTAGCAGTGAAAATGAAAGTACCCGCCCCCATGACGTCATTTAGCGGACCTTGTTGAAAACCAGACAGATCAGGCAGCATAATACAAAGAGTGGTGCAAAGCGCATCAAATGATCGGTATTTAAAAGGGGGAAAAAGAAAAATAGATTCAATATATTAATTATTATTAGACACACATCTGGTGCTTGTATTTGCTCCTGCTATACGTCCACAACTTCACACATTGGGTTAAATTAGGCTTTACAGTTTCCATGTTCAGTCCTTTACTTCCACTGTATCTTTTTAAGAAAAGGCAGCAGCATTACAACCTGACATTCAATCAGAAGACG